GATGTGGAGAGTTAGCGAGTTGAAAATTTCGATATTTTATGTGTTTTACTAGTAAAATCTTACAGTATTTATACTTTTGGCAGGGGGGTGTAATTATGTCTCAAGAATTTAAATAGAAAAGACAATTACGCGCATTTATATTAAACTTTTAGTATTTGCCTTAAATAGCTCATTGCTAAAGACAAGAGAACGAAGTATGCACTTCTCAGAGACATTTATAATTACAGTTCAAGTTAATAGTAAATAGGCCACATTAGAAATATTAATTGGGGTTATTATTTCTTTTTAATTCACTTTTTTCTTGCTGTCGGGCGTCAATTTATCGTATTTTTTTCGACTAAAAAACTAAAAACGAAATAAAAAACGAAATAAAAAAAAAAAACAAACAAACACCGAAAAAAACGAAATAAAAAAAAAGAGGACATCAAAAAAATCCATGGTGAAATTCAACATTTAAAAGAACATAGTATTTATTTATTTAAAACCTGAAAACACCAAGTAGGTTGACCGGTTTTCTAATTTTGGCTCCGGTAGGCCATCAAAAAAATTAGATTATTAAAAAGAAGCCAAAGCCAACGACTAATATCTGAGAAGTTCAAGAGAAATTTAACTTGCGAAGACTGAATATAATTTTATCAGTGGTTGGTTACGCGGTTTCTTTCTTTATATTGAAAGATAGATGACTTCGCCCTGTAATTACAAATAAAGTCAACTTACAATATTAACACTGTGCATTTAGAGACTGAACCTCTTTTTTGGAAAAACTTGTAATTTAATGGGCTTATTTACAAAGGTTTGGATTATATGACGTGCTTTCACATATGCCAATATGGTTGAGTTATCGAGATAAAGTTGTGCATGTTACTGTTAATTGCCTTTACTGGATATTGACTATAAAAAAATATGATACGCTATTTATTAAACAGTAAATCTTGAGACAAATGTTTAAAATTCGTATGAGTTTGATGCTAATAAAACTGAAATGTAGCAACATTCGAGCTCGCTTTCAAAGCATTCTAACATCAACTGTAATGTGTGTGTTTCCTGACGTTGTTTCATATTTCAACCAGTTTTTCCCCGAATGCGTCATTATTTTATCTGTTCTTGAGATATCATGCAATACTTATTTACTTTTAGAAATGTGTCGTTTTTTTCGTGTCATAAAGGTATATAAGTAGCTCGAATTTCATAAGCAAACTTAGTTTGAGCTGTTAATGATAATAGTCATTGAATAAAGTTTTTATGTCCGTGGAAGATTGGATAAACGATTTTCATATGCTAGAAAGTTTCAAGGCGAGCTCAAATGTTGCTACGTTTTATTCAGGAAACGATTAGCATTACCAATTTTATAACATTAGTCTCAAATTTTATTTTTTAACTAGGGTTGCTTTGAGATACGCTTCGCTGTGTTTGTGTTAGTTTGGTATCTCATTGTCTGGAGAATTTTAGAATTGACATATTTCGTTGTTGGAATGTTGTAATGGAGGTAGTATTTTGTTTAGATTGTGTTTGGCTTTGGTTCACAAGGGAGGTGCGGTTATATAATCATAAGCGTAACGATAGTTTTTTGTCTAATGTTTTGATTATAAGCAATTATGTATCTAAAGCTTGTTCGGATATTAATGATAGTAAATTAAGCTATTGAATGTATCAATGGATTATATTATGCGCGATTTGTTTGTTGATTCTATTTACTATCTTATCATGTTAAGTAATGAACCATATCTAATGCTTCCAATGTGTGAATGGAATGGAACATGGGTGAGTGTTGTAATTGATTACAGTAGTGGAATAGTTATTGTCGTTCGAACAAAATTTAATGATTGACTTTGTTAATTTATAGAAATTTTTAAAAAAGTCACTAATAATAAATATAATGTAATGGAAGAAATTATTAATGAACAACAAAAAAATTAGAAGAGAGAGAAGATACGATTAAAGCATGAAAGAAAATTAAGCGTTAAATTATTGACTCTGTAGTATCTTGGGGAAAAAAGCAATAAATTGTTTTGGTTTTTTGCAGAAGCGACAGGTTGGGAGTCTGTTTACCGTACCAGTACGCGCAATGAAATTTATGGGTAGGCTCTAAATTAAGGGTAAATTAATAAATCATCTTGCGTGATTCAAAGAGCTTATACGCAAGGAAGACAAGGAAATTGGTTATAGTAATCGCTGAACAATTGGTCAGATTTTTTTAAGGCGATGGGGCGCCTCCATGCAGGAATATTAGTAGTAGTATTGTTTGCAAAATTTATGGATTGAATAGTTTGTGGAGGACATGTTCGTAAGCAATTTAGCTGAACGATAGAAATTTTACCTTTTCCTAATATTACCGACTTGAATATAAACCAAATTTAAACTTTATAACGTCTTCATAATCTGCAAGCGAAAATAAATCTAGGATATCACGAGACATTTTTCAATGGCCGAAATATTGGCGCAAAGGGTATAAATTTAAATTTGGTTTATATCCAAGTCAGTAAGTAGCATTGGGAGAAAGTAAAATTCCTATCATTCAGCTAAATTTGTTATAAACTGATTGATTTTTGTGAGATGTGGGGTCTATTCAAATGTATTTTACAATACGTTACGTTCATTATGTGATTCCGCGATAAAGAATGTTGCGTATTGATGATAATTATTGGCTAATTATGTTAATAATACGTATACAATGACAGCGAACCATACAATAACAGCTTACGATAATGGACCATGGAATGATAGTTGTCGGTAACAAGGAATTACGACAGGTAGTAGTCTACAACAAAGAACCGCAGCCCATAAGTAAAGAATCACAACACTGCTCATAACAAAGGGCCACAACAATCGACTTACAATAGAGAAACAAAGGATTGCATCAGTCATCCAGAACAAAAGACTGGAAATATTAGCATGGGAAAAGAAAGCGGTGTTAATATAGTTGTATTGAATATTGAGCATTCATTACATTTATTTTCTGAACGCACAGTTTTTATTACTAAATCTTTTACTGGTTTTTTTTAATCGGTTTGACCGGCGTAATGTCGTTTGATGAGTGGCAGTATGTTGATTTGGGGTGTGTTATCGATGATAGTGGTAATTTTAGTTATACGTATAATGTGTTTGAAGAAAGCATAAATAAAGTTGAATGATGGCTCAAGTTGATAGAAGAGTTTCTGAGCGATCGTAATGGTTTCGAATGGCACACACCTTTTGTATTATTTAGTGTTATGACATAATATTGTTTACTGTATTGTGTGAATTTCATAATAAGGTAAGCACCAGCTGATAGTTATTTATAGATCGGTAATAATAACGGATAATGTGTATGTCGATTGTTGTTCGACATTTGTTAAGCAGGAAATGACTGATACACCGTTACAATACTCACATAAATAACTATTGTGTGTACATACTGTTATTGAGATTGGAAAAAGAGTTAGTATACGAATTCGGTGATACCGGTTTTACGTTTATCTAAAAATAGGTAGATTATTTAATTTTGTTTAGAGTAACTGAGAATGGATTGCTGAATATGAATCGAACAGAACATATTCGTTGGGAAACATTAGAGTCAGGCAGATAATTTATTTTTAACGTTTATTCGAAATTAGTCTAGTCTAAAGACATTATTAATGGCAAATCAAACAATCCAGTTTATCTATACTTTGTGTATGCAATTTATTTACAAAATGGTTATTTTTAGGATAAGCACATGAAGGCGAAGAAAATTAGTAGTCAGTCGCTGTAGAGTGAAGTAAGCGACGAATTGGAAACTAGAGTACCAGTTAAATCGATGTAGATTTTGTTTTACTGATGGCAAATTTTTAATTTTTGCGCAATGACTAATTTACTTAGTTATTTGAGTGAATCAACGCTTTGGATTTATTACGTGTTGTAGAGCAATAAAATTTTTTTATATAAACACAGGCCTTCCGACAAGCATTTTTTGCGACCCCACATCCATATATATACAGTGTGGTAACAAAAAATTGACCCTTTAAAAATGTATAGTAATAGTAATGGCTTTACAAGTAAATAAACAAATCATGTCATTTTAATAACAGTTATGCTACCCTTTTGGTATAAGCTGTCTCAAACTCTTTGTTGTCTTACTTTTATTATTTTTTTAAAAAAAGGAAAGTTTTAAACACATGTAAATACACAATGTTTAGCAATCCTTCACTTTTGGAATCAATGAATGCATCTCAAAAAACTCCATCAAATAGCTGATCTTCAAGTATAATTAATAATATTAGAAAATAAAATTGGGATTTTTTTGCATAAAAAGGATAATAACTGTCTATATCTAGCTTTATAATATCAATAAATTATCACTGTTAGATCATAGTTAATGACAACGGTAAAGGGTTAATTATTAGTTTATAACAAAATATATCAGTACTAGTACAATCCTTAGCTTTCAGGCTTTCAAACAAGCTATTAATTATTAATCATTCGATTTAAGCAAACATCTGGTAAAAAAACGGAGGTCAATTTTTTTTGTTACATACTGTATATAAAATACAGTACTTTAAAATCGGGAAGACAGTTTTTCATTTTGTCCTAATCATTGCCAAAAGACAATAAAAAGGAAAGGCGTACATTAATAGTATTGGTGAAGCTGAGTCAACAATATGTTAACATATTATTATACATATATGAGGTCCCAATTTCTCAATATTAATACATTATCATAACGAAAGAGGTTAATTTGGAGATTTTTTCATGACACTTCATACATATTGTTGTATGGTTAACGATTACGTGAATAATAATTGTATTGGCCACCACACATATGACTGACTTCATAGTCTAGAACGAATATATTCCCTACTCTATCAAGGTTCAAACCAATAGGTAGAGCCATTAACATTTCACTTTGCGTTGCGATGGGTATAGCATTCATATGTAAAGAAGAATGGTTGGACTTTTGTAATTACTCTAGCAGAATTTATTAAATAGTTGATCATGCGCGCAATCATCTATAATAATAACAAGAAAAGTATTCACCCGTCTTCTCATTCGATAATAACTTCATCACCTGCCCAAGCAACGAAAGCTACAATTCCAAGAAAATAGATCGCACTCGTCAGTACCCATACGATTTCCCACTGATGACCAGCTACATCTAATATCCATCCAGTCAGTACCACTCCGAATATTGCAGGAATTGTTGCAATTGTATTGCTAAGACCGAATATTGTTCCAGCATAAAGTGGGGCTATGTCATGCTATTATAATTAAATAGAATGTTATTCCATTGGACAGTGTACAATTCGTCCAAAGACTTCTTACCAATGATACAGATAATCCAGCCATGGTAAATCCGTACAGTCCCGTCCCAATAGTGATTACTAGTATCCCTTGAACTGCCGTGCTTACTACAAACGTGGCCTTTAACAAAGGGTAAACGTCTTGTTATGCAAATAGGCGAGAAAAGACGACATAAATGTTAAAACATACCAACAGTAGACATATGGCGATAGACAGACTTCCTATAACTTGAGCCAATTTGCGCGCGACGACTACTCGCATGTTCAGCTTATATATGGCATAATCTGCGAGTACGCCAACTGATGAGCCTACAATAGTCTGAAATATGACCGGAATGACTATTCAACGAAACCGTTAGATATGGTAGTTTCAGTTTTAGACAAGCAATAAAATGTTCAGTATCTTTACCAGAATAGTAGCCTAGTTTATTAACATCTATTCCGAATCGATCCAAATAAAATGTCGGCAACCAGTTATGGTTTAAGTAGAATCCCCACGTATTACATGATTGTGCTATTATAATAGCCCAAACCTCTTTTCTAGATAAAATAACTTTCCATGGAATATTCCCTTCACCGACTCCCCTACTTACCCTTCTCTCATTCCTATCTACAAACCCAATCTCATTCTCATTTCTGCTGTCATCCTCGTCCCCGACGCTTTCCTCTTCAATGAGTGAAAAACCTTCGCTCTCTGGCGAGTTTCCACCACAGACGTACCAAAACATACACCAAATCAACCCCACACCACCAAACACGTAAAAAATGCTCTCCCATCCTAACACAGAACTTCCTAAAAAAGACGATGTTGGCAACGCGATAATCGATCCACTATATGCCATAGCAGTAACCATACTTATCGCTCGGGTTTGTTCCTGTTGGGGAATCCAAGCAGATATGAGGGAATGGGCGCTCGGAAAAGCAGCTCCTTCACCAACGCCTAGACAAATACGACAGAGTATGAGACTGAAAAGCGAGTGTTTGGCGGCAAGAGGTGTCAACACGGTAAACATTGACCAGACAAAGGCGGCTAAATAAATAGAGAGTGCGTAAACATGTCGAATAAATTCGATTCGATGATAATAATAATAACGCAAATACCAAAATCTCACAATACCTGTCCCGAATACAATTTTCCCGCCAAACTTGTCTGCTAAAGCTCCCCCAATTATTTGAGTTGCCAAATATCCGATTAGAAACGAAGTGAATACCCATCCCTCAACGGTCGAAGACCAGTTAAATTCTTTAGCCATATAGACTATGGCTATAGAAATATTGGCTCGATCTATTCAGATAGTCATTGTATTGAGAGAGCGTACGAATTGAAAAGGGGGGGGGGGGGGAGAGAGAAAACAACAGTAGGTAATTGGATTACCCGCATAGTTTATGGTTAAGCCTATAGCACAAAGGCCTATTACTATGAAACGTCTCGGTATTTGGACGTCAAACGGTCTCATGTGCAGAGGTAAAAGAGAGAAGGGGGGACTAGAAGATCTTTCATGGAAAAAATGAAAGTTTATTTATGAAAATCATGACTATATAATGAAATTCTTTTCAATGGAAATAACAATTTCCACGCGTTTTTTTTGTTTGTTGCCTGACGACATTATAACGATTACATGTTTCTTTTAATAAAGCTACTAAATTTAACGATATGTCACTGAGATTCGCTTAATACTTTCTTTACAATGATGCTAATAGATTTTTTATCAGCCTTTTCCTCATCAATTTTAATTTCTTTCATAACTTTCCCAACATCTTTCACGCTGCTAGCTCCAACCTGCTTCACCACTTTTCTAACCTCAGCTTCAATATCCTCTTCGCTCATTTGCTCGGGTAGATAGCTCTTTAATATTTCAAGTTCCTCCGTCTCATTATTCGCGAGGTCTAGTCTATTGGCTGCTGTATATTGGGAAATCGATTCTTCACGGCGTTTAATGGCCCCGCGAAGTATCCTTATTACCGATGAGTCATCAATGGGAGATTGAGACGTGGGAGATGTTGACTTTGATGCATAAGTTATATCTGAGAGTACTCCCTTTATTATCACGGATTGAGTAAAAGTAATAGTAGGATGAACAAAGGGTTTTTTATAATACGATGGCCGATGAACGAGTTCTGGCATTGTTCTTTGAGATAGTAAGCATCGTAATCGATACATAATTTTCACACCTTTACAGTATTGAGCCTCATCTTGTCTTTATTTTTCATAGCTTCTTTCACATCAGTCTTCAATCTAAGCAATAATGGCGGTTGCTGTGACGATGGATCTGTCGTTGCTTTTGTATCAACCCATATTTTTTTGTTACAAATCTCGTATTGTAACAAATAGATCACATCCGGCAATACTTACTACTAGTGATATATCGCGTGAGCACATTTGACAATGGACGTATCTTTGCCCTTTCAAATGGTGAGATAGAGGCTGTCCTTGAGGACAATCTTTGAAGATATCTTTGATGAATCATCACGGCACCTCGTAGCAAACACCCGTTTCACTTGTATGTTATGCAGTTTACACGTGATGTTGCGGTCAAAATTTTCTCTCACGTGAACCAGTATTGGAAATGTATTCTCACTTTTTGAATATCAATCATAGTCTTGGTACTAAATAGGGAAAGGTGAGCTTGATGACTCTTAATTTATCTCGCACTACTCAAATAAACTGCAATTAAGGGATAAGTGTTAACAAATTTGGGACACTGTAATAAAGAGTCTGATGTATTAGATTATACACAGCATCATGGCAATTCCATGTAATTTCAAATGTGTTCTTGCTTTTGACAACAGAATACGGATTGTGTATCATTACATGCCTTTTTTCCTTTGTGAGTAGTCCTATCTTAAGACCAAAAAACAATATTACACAGCTTTTCGATGCAAGATTAATAATTTAATCTCAAGTTATTTTTATTCTCCACGCTTAAGTAAACATAACACAGTTGTTGTCTATATCGGAAATCTGTGAAATCATTCGCTTAAACATTTAGAGTTTGTAAAATGTCAATACCACATACTAGTAAGGTATGTATGCCGAAGCATCAACGGGATTACATGACGATCCGATTATTAACGGTCACGGGCTGACGCTGAATGACCAAGAACAAAGATTGGTGACGGGAATGTTGAATGCGGAAGACCGACAGATAGCGGCGATTGTCTGCATTTTCACGTTGACCCCCTTTTCCTGATTTGGATGGTCAATGCTACCGCTATTTTACGCACTGAAAAACGGGCCTTTCTTCGACTAACGATAATGATTGTCGTCTTCCCTTTTTAAACCTGTTTGTGCGTAACTTTGTAATAGTAAGTCGTTACTATATTGAGCCTGGTCCATTCAAGTTGCTTATTACGGGCATCAAGACACAGCCCGACGATTTGTCCCAAGCGGATAATGCCTGCAAGCACTGCGCCCCAAATTGTATCATCATATAAAATGAGGTTATGTGTCACAAAATCGATATAAAAGGTTTGAAACAGTTGGCGTCATATCTTTGTAACGTTTCCCAATTGTAAGGGCGGTGTTTGATATTTATATTACTTAAAATAATACTATTCGAAACATTAATATTGTCTTGATTTTTTCGACGTGACACAGAGCAGGCTTATAAATAATAAACTGTTGGCCAACCTTTTCCATTAGCAATGGCCGATCTCAAAGCAAAAGATATAGAAGCTGGGATATTTCTACCAAAAGTTGACGAGAAAAAAAATATATCTAACGATCAGTTTATTGTTCAGCCTGGCTACGATACGTCCGAACAAGCAGAAAATAAAGTCAAAGTTAATAAAACGCTCAAACTGTTCTTGGCTTTCGTTACAACATTAAATGCTTTATACTTGCTCGTCATAATTACTGGTTGCATCAAATATAACACATTTGTAAGTAATCGGTTGGATTCTAACAAAAAGTATTCGTCAGCATAATTAAATTTCCATTCTTTTCATTTGTAGCATATTCCGTATGATGATCCGTATTATGGATTTACCGCACTGTTTACTTTTGAAATGGTCTTTAGGACACCAGCTCTGTTTATATGGTTTGAAAAGAGACATTTATATTTCAAATTATTTGTTGACCGGCTTGCAAGTTTCTTAGGTAACTTTGTAATCATTATGAATTATCGCAATAGTAATATTGTTTGTTATCTCTCGCTAATATTTTATTAAAATGCTTTCAGGCGGAGTGGAATATTATTTCGCATTTGTTTATCCCAAGGATTATAATACATGTCGATACGTTACCATTTTGTTTCTTTTCTGGAATGGCATACATAATTTTGCCGCTATGATCGTTGAAGTAACGCTGTTCATTAACATTTACCATGCGTCCAAAGAAACTGACGATTCGTTTGCATATGCGTTGTCTGTTTTTGGCTTTTGTCACTACAGTGTTTGCTTTGTAAATTTAATATGTTTTATTGTTTATATGACTTACAGTAAACTCTTAATATAACTAATAGTCATCTTGTATAAAGATTTGTTATTATAATTGGATTTGTTTAAGACAAATTTACGCATATATCATGTAAGTATAGCTTATAGCACTTACTCTTGCCAAAAACATTTTACGAACATTAGACAAAAAAACGCAATACATAAATAAACTTTCAATTCAACATGTCATTCATAACTTGAACATTAAAAGACGACGCGACGTTTGGTCTATTTTAAAAAATCTGCTCAGTAATTATTCTAGAGGAAAGCTACAACCAGTGGCTATGCGATATTTGTATTTACTTACACTGATACATTAAAAGCTCATATGTTTAGAATCGAATAACTGTTCGAACTAACGTGAATATTATACAATAAAGATAATCGGTCAAAGGTTGATTAAAGTTGTCTTTTGCAATATACAGTCGATAAGTTACAGCCACCCGAACCGAACTATCGAATATTATAATTATCGGACGAATAAAAGAAATAAGTCCTTCAAATTCGAATTAAAGGGACGAATTAAGACAGTTGTGTACTATGCTTTTCGGTGACTTTTTTCGGTATCCACTGAATATTACAATTTTGAAGGGTATAAATCTTTCTGTTCTGAGACAAAAAAGTCTACGTTCATCTCTATCAACACTATTGTGAGATTATATTCAGTGTCAAACGGAAGAGACAGCACAATGCTGCCTGGGTGATATTGTGTGAGGGGTGCAATACTAACATTGGGTAATTAATCTGTACCCATACGCGCCCATATTCAATGTACAAATGTCAATGTCATACATAGGATATATCATTGAGTTTGTGCACAGTATTAATAACGACAGAGATTAAATAAACGATTTATAGCATAACAAACTAAAATAGATGCATAATAACTTGGAGAATTTCTGCATCGTACGTATAGAATACATACACAGGTTCATTATATATATAACCAATAAAATTTCAAAAACCAGATCATGTCTTGTGAATTTAGGAAACTATGACGTATTTCTATTTGAAACAACCTATATCTCATATCGCAAGAACGTTTGCAGTTACTAATTAACCTGGAATTATGCCTATTTGATTCTCAAAAACAAATGCATCATAAAACGTACGTCCTTCAGTACTCTCACGTAATAATCGCACTCTCTTGGCCGCCTTCGCAACGTATTTTGATATCCTCGGCATTTTATATTAAAATCAATGACACACTCGATTAGTTCACTCACTCCAAACCTCGATAGCGATATGAAGCGTTAGCGATTGTATAAATTGGAGATCTGTGCGATGTAACACAGTAAACGTTGAAAAACCGAGGTCTTATTAATCAAACTATGTTGTTAACAATCCAGCAATTGACAACTTGATTGAATCCTCCTCAGAATATGGATACTTAAAATTGAAATGGATTCTTTACGAAAATGTTACCAACATAAAGCCGACTCCAACGGATGCTATCTATTACGCTAATCGCAAGCAGCCAGACAATAAAGTAAAGGAAACAATGAAGAATGTAGGCCAACACTTGTGAGCGAGTTTGCTAGAATATATCACTTCCGACACAGAAGCACAATAACGACGACATTGACTTTAGAAGATATTCCACATGGCTTTATCGTCGCAACGAACTCATAATTGGATTTACCAAGTATGATGATACATATTACATGGGGTTGCTCGAGATCTTCGATTAAAGACTCCTGTAAGAACTAAAAGCCAGTTTATTCCGCGCGAATCATATACCTCAAAGATCTATTGTCTACTCTTTCGTGATATTGTTGCAAAATTGCCATACGCAATCATGCCAACCACATATACCAAGAATGGCTCGTCCGTATCAATCGCATTGTAATGTTTGGTCCGCACACCATTCCTAACCTCTGAACTGAGAGCCTGAGCAATAACAATATCAATAACGCGTTCGTTGTCCTTTGGGCTAAGGTCGTTTCAATGATATACCGCGCGGATCGAAAAGCATTTTTTGGCATGTCATCATCCGTTCGTGGACCGACACGCAACCTCTTCCAAGTCTGCTCTTTTCAAGTAACAGTTGTAATACTAGTATCAAATATATACATTCTAGTTGAATGCAAAGGAAAGGCGAACACGAACTTTGTAGTTGATGCACGGAACGGTACTCCCACTTTCGACGACCCTTGAACGGTACTAAATTCCTCTTGCCCCGATCCTTCCATGTGATTGGAACCAGCACGCGTGCTGAACTGGAAAGTGAGATAATTTGCACGCTTAAATCGAGTTTCGACTAGGGTGTTCCGTCTCTATAACGCAATTCTCGGACTTTAAGTCTATAAAAAAGGAAGAAAATTAATTCAATGATAAATAACCAAGACCAGTTCATGCAAACTCGACAGAGATGTACGACTTGATGATTGTTCTAATATCAAAGCCCCATTCATAAGCGAGTATCTCGGCGTCTGAAGCAATTGTTCAGTCTCCAAACTTATCTTCAGTAGGAATCTTTAGCATTATGTGAAGTCAATTGTATCCGCTCGTCTTTTCCTAATCCAACTTCGCTACTATACAACAATACGAAGTTACAATGTCATTCATTGATTTACAAGCTTGGGTGTGGTGCCAATGGTGTGCTGGTTAAATGGAACGTTGCCAAATCCCAGGTCAAGAGGTTCACACGCAATCGGACAAGACATATTGAGTAACGAGACAAAGCGTATTTTTCAATAACAAGCGAATTCTCCTAAAGACTGATTCATAGTGTTATTTTTACTGTAATCGAAACAAGCATAATCACTCACGTACCTTCGCAAAGCAATTAGTTGTGCTGATTGATATTCCGTAACCATCTTTCATGACAAGAGTCGAGTTTACCGGTATTTATATTCTACTGGTAAAGCGATCAAGCGACGCAAGACTTGTATAAAGCGTTCCCGCTGTCGATAATGTCACTCGCAGTAGTATTACCAGATCCGAAATTATGAGGTTACGGAAGTAGACAATGACGTGCCCCGGTCTGAGTAATTGATGGGTTGATGGTTATCCAACTTTTACGTGTTGCGTTTCTTGTCAAACATAAAGCAACGTCGGGTAACAATATATTTGTAACGGAAAAGCAGTGAAACCTGACTAATTGATACATGCAACGGTGACCAGTCGGAAATTTGCAATTGGACTGGAAAGTGCTTCTATTAATATTCTTGTATTATATTCAATTTTAGTTCAGGCCCGTAGATATTGTGATGTTACGGCCCACGATATTAATTTTTGGACCTCTTCGCATACACATAGTTTAAACCACGTCAGATTTCAGCTTACTAAGTTCAAAGTAGACAACATGCAGGAAGACAAGAATTGTACATCAAAATTAATTTTATCACTTTCATTATCGTATAACTAGGAAAGCTTCTTTTTCATAAATGTCCATTGTAAAATGCACGAGTACTGATCGGTAATATGTCCGTCCATAAGCCAAATGTATAATAAAGCTATGGATACTATAGAGTACGCGCATACGTTGTGTTTTGCACTTTCGAATTATTCTCATAAAAGATCTTTATTTAGTGATAAAATGAAGAATCCTTGTTCCAACCAGACGGTTGCTTTTCCTTTTTTTTTTTTCATTTTGATAAAAAGTTTTTTCTTTAGTTGGAAGACAGAAAAGCAGCTATGTTGTGTAGTAGCGCATGATGCGGGCGCGTAGCTTGCCATTACATTTCGTTACTTGACTCAAATTAAACTTATGTTACAGTTCCTGATACTTTGCTTTGGTAAATATCCCAGTACTTTTTATCGCGCATATTTCCATACTGTGCGCAACATCATTATGCTAGCAAATAATTTTATGAATTACGCGAACGCTTTAAATAAATTTATGGAGGATTTTCCCTGTACAATTCATAATCATATTTATTTTATTAACCATATAAACGTACTTGTATAACCGTTTTCCTCTTACCACATCATCTAACATTCATTTTATCTCATCTTACAAAGGCACTCCTTCAAGGAAAGCCTTATTTCCCTCTCTCGTTAGCACAACATGCACGTTTCCTAGAATCCTGTTCACAAAGCCACCCTCGCAATACGCAAAGTAAAATTCCCATTTGCGTTTAAAGATATCAACATCCCTCTGTTTCATTTCTGGGTGTTCTTTAATTAAAGTAGGACCAATGCTCTCGTCAAATACGGAAAGAAATTGTTCACGCCAGAGACGCAGAGTGCGCGCATAATGTGGTCCAATGTTATCGATTGACTCGACAATTAATCGGCCACGAGAACCCTTATGAATTGCTTGGACTAGAGATGTTACGGTTGGACAATGACCGCCTACAAATGAAAGTGGGATGGACTTTTTAGACTCACGTTACCCTTTTTCTATTGCCATTTTTAATCTCCATTCATTCACTTACCGGGAAAGATATATTTCCTTATAAAATCGACTTCTTTACAATATCTATCATATCTTGTCTCGGGCATAGTAATCACCTGAAATACTGCAATTCCATCTTGCTTTTTTAAGAGTTTATCGCAGCATTCAAAATACGTCGCCAGATATTCCGGTCCTACTGCTTCGATCATTTCGATGCTGACGATCTTGTCAAATTGATGTGAAGCTGGAAGATTTCGATAGTCGCAGAGAAGCACGACGATGCGGTCGGATAGACCTGCAGCAAATATACGTTCTTCGGCAAGGCGTTTCTGCTCGATCGACAATGTTAGAGTTGTCACCCTACATCCCGTAGATTTCGCAGCCTAGAGAAGGATCAGAGATTGTTTTGATGAGATTATGACACGCGCTTGGACAATTTTAGTAATTCAAACACACTCATCCTTTGCGCTGACACTCTCGTTACCAATTACCTCAATAGCAAAACTTCCCCAACCGCTTCCAATCTCCAACACGTGATCCTCACTTCCAATCTTTGCCTTCCTGATAATCTCTCTCAACTTTCTCATTTGCGCTTTCTCCAACGGTTCATCCACGTTGTCAAATAAGGCACACGAGTACGTCATGTCAGTGCTTAGAAACGCGGCGAACATATCATTTGAAATATCATAATGTGCAGATATGTTGTTTATTGCGTTCGTGACTGTGTTTGCAAATCGAGTGTTCATGAAATAGTTGATCGTGTTGAAAAGATACGACGGGACGGTGGACATGTCATCGATATGATTACGGTTTGCTGCGAAAACCTAGAAAAGACGGATAGAGAACGAGTGTGACAGATTAGGGTTGGGAGAGCTTTATAAATTCGAGTTAGATTACGGATGTTTGACTTACATTTATTAATGATCCCAAGTCATCACAGACTACATCACCGAGCATATATGCTTCCGCGAATCCCTGTATGGAACGCAAACAAAATTAGCACAATTCATTGTAAATTTACATTTGTTGTCGTTTTTCCGTCCTTAATTCACGTGACTAAATATCCGTACGACTTTCTCCGAAAGCATATTATGGTCGAGCTGGCACGTGCTTGAATAGTCTAATAGTAAATCATTTTTTTTACTCACCAAATCTGCAAAGAGCAATAACCTCACCCAAAATGATTCGTTTAATACTTTGAATTTTGCTTTTAATTGAGAGTCTCGCGAACCAAATTCGTAGACACGCTCTTCTGTCCATATTTCCAGATGACCAACGTTGATCTTAGCCATTATTGAGAGTGTTGTATTCTGAGCTAGCAATCGAAATGGATGAGAGACGTACTCAATAAAGAAAAAAAAAACGACAGCTCTTTTGGACGGACAATTATTATTTAGCCGAGATTATATGTTTTACCCCCCTCTCCTCTTCCCTCCCTTCCCTCCCTTCCCTCTATACATTGCATTGCACTATCAACTACCATATCGATTGATTAATTGGCCTCGCCGACTCTGCTCTACTTGCAATTTTCTTTTACCCTCTTACCGAAATGAAGAAACGCTGGCCATGCCTTTGTAATCAATGCTTCCTTGTAGTATTGGTAATATGAGTCGAATTTAGCGATGGCTTTGAGTCTTGAGCCGGAGATTTGTTTCTTGATCGGAAAGTCAGTCATCTTTGTAATTTTAGCTCTCGCACGGGTCGAAATGCTTTCTCAATAGCAAAAGATGGCCATTTTCAGGGCGTACCTTTATCTTATATCTAATTCAGAAATGATTACTAATATTGGCTCTATTCAACTCTTGAATTGCCTTTAACAAGCACCAAGAAGTTTGCAGATATGCATTGGCGTATCACCAATCTGACAATGAGTTATGAAACTTTGGTAATGCATATAGCAATATGTATTTAATTCATTTGATATCGATTTCTACGTCGTGAAACAGCGGAATGAGAGATTGTATTGATATTGACGATCGGAAAAGTTAGGGGATGGAGTAGATGGAAAAAATGGGGGAGTATCACCATAGTTTTCTTTAATTCAGGCAGTGTAACTGTCTTGAGGCAGTAGTACAGTTACTAAAAGTAGATATTGCAAGGGGTGTATCAATAAAGCTAAGTGGTACGGGATTGTTTACCAACGGGTAACAGTAAAATTGTTTATCAAAGCGTTGTGGCACATGCAGAAGAGATAAAAATCTATGTGTGACGATTTTTAACTGGGTTCTTTTTCTGGTCTCTCTTAATTCAATAAATTCCTTTCCGGTGTAACTGTATATAGTAGTAGGAATAGGCTAACATTCCGTCATATTTGCAGATTTTACATGACACAAAGCTAATCTTTAAATTTTATTAGCAGCAATGTATTTGACCGATTACCAACTAAGAAATTGCCGACTGCAAAACCGGGAATGTTCAAGTATAACAATATCCTTTAGTTTCACATGATATTTGACAAGGGCTTAGCGTTAGTATTAGTTTCGGCACAGCCCATCAATTGACGTCGTACTACGTGAAGATGACATCAAGAGGACCAATCCAGTAAGCCACAAACCATGTTTTCAGCAGTTCCAATTTAAATGCAGGAGAAATGACCTTGATCGGCAATATTTAATTCTTGCTAGAGACTAAAACATTACTTAAATTAATGTTTTTATCATAAGTGGATTGGAATACTATTATAATATTACACGGCAACAAAAATGATTACTCAAGTTACATAATGTGCGTCTAGATCAAGACGAACGTTTTCAACAGTAGGATTCTTCAGGTAGAACGAGGTGTATTGTACAAGTCATGGGGTAAATAGACTTTGCGTACTCCAAATTCTCTATCAATGATTCATCCAACAGTTTCGGTTATACTTCATTAGTATGTGCGCATTAGGATGGTAGAATTCAAGAGCAAGTCTTGACTGTTTCACTTTTTTTGTTGCAGACAATTCACATACCAAGTCATTCTCAAACTACCACGCGAAACATTTGTACGCAATGTACTGTAGCTTTTACGCGTCAATAAATAATAATTCCATTGGATAAGATAATAGATTTTTCGGCAGGACGGATGAGCAGTTCTGTATCGTATTTATGAAATGAAATGTTACATTAGAAACACTTGAGGATGCGAAAATTAAAAATCCAAATTCTATGCGGACGATGGTATTTTGTATTCGGCCGCAGTGGTAAGCATGAACGCGATGTGATTGGATAATATATACAAATAAAGGAATTCCTCTTCGTAATCGGGGGGGACACGTTGCTGAAATTAAGCGATAACAAACAAAAGAGAAAAATAACTAACACAAGGCTAGAAGATAGAGCCTACTACGTCCTGTAATAATTGTAAATTGTTTTTTTTTAATTGTCGATACGCAAAGATATAGTCTTTTTCCCTACTATCGATAAACCGAGAGAAAACAGAGTCTATTAATATAACCATCGGTAATAGTAAGCAGATCAGGTGTTGAGAACCGTGCCTGTACTTTCGATTCATGATTAGATCGATAGTAATAAATATAAACAATACGATTTTTAGTCTTAGCTATTGCCAAAGAAACTGGCAACAGAAAGAAACAAGAAAATAAAAATGCAGCTTTAAAATTGTGCATAATTATAAATCTGACAAAGGGTATGTGTGTGAGATAGAAAACAACATCACGACAAGTAATTTCTTCGTTTTGCGAATACGAATAGTTTTCGTGTCAATAATTATCGTTTTTATAGGATCTTTATTGACAACTACGGAAAACCGCTAAAGCTGCTTAGTACATAATGTGACTAAACTGAATCAACAAGGAAACTAGGCCTAGTGCCTGGTATTTATAAAGTAATAGTTAATTAATGTTAAATCTAAATCTATAATCATGTTATGTTACACAAGCGGGAAATTGAGAAAACGTCTTCCTGACTTGGGGAAATTGTTCAATTTTTAGATATGAATGCATTGGGGACCATCAGAACAGGTGTTTACACGACAAATTAGTTGAGAAAGATAAAATATAGAATTATAAACTTATTCAGTCTTTCTTCAGCGCTGAATCACAAGACATTTAGGACAGTATACACGATCTCTGTTGTTCCGGTTGTTCAGAAGGTAGCGCTTGATAATAGTAGTTGATCAATATCGACTAGAATATTTTATAACTGACGTTGTATTCTAGAGAAAAACTCATGACTTAATTATAAGAAAGACAACCGGAAAGCCTATCATTAAATATGGTCCTGGAGGCCGGTAAGCTGCTATAGCAGATTTTGATCTCGTTTTTCTTTGTCAATGGAATACTAACATTTTGTTGACATTTCCTAGTTCTTCAGTAAGTGGTCACATAGCGACTGTTTTTGGTGCAACTGGCTTCCTTGGTCGCTACCTTGTTAGTAAGCTAGGTAGGAACAAAAAAGAAAGGAATTACTAACAAATTGTCTGGATATACTTTTAACGGTGTGCCTATTTTACGTTCTCGCCACAATAATTACGTAGCCAAACATGGAACTCAAGTTGTGATTCCCTATAGAGATGAAGATGCCAAAAGATTCCTTAAAGTTACTGGAGATTTAGGACAGATAGTATCATTGGTACGTAATGATTTCTGGAATAACATCACTTTGAATCGTTTGTTTTGGCCTCTTTCTAAACAAACGAAAATTTTCCTCTGAACGGATAAAAAGGAGTTTGATGCAAGAAATGAACAGAATATCATTGAAGCGGTCCGACACTCTGACATTGTGTATAACCTCATCGGAAGAGCTTACGAAACAAAGTAATTTGCGTTTTTTTTTTTCAAAGAAGAAAACAACGACACTAGTACGAAAATAATTGAACAAAATTTTTGTCAATTTCTCATTTTTTTAGGAATTTCAAATATTCTCAAGTACATGTAGACGTAGCAGGTCGTATTGCAGCAATTTGTCGCGAACAAGGTGTTTCGCGACTTGTTCATGTGTCGGCCCTTAATGCCGATGTTAATTCACCTTCAGAATTTTTGAAAACCAAGGTGACCACTCTAGTAAAACGATGGTGCAAAAATTACGGTTACTCGTGCTGACGAGATTTAATGATTATTTATCGCTTGTAGGCATTAGGTGAGAAAGTGGTAAAGGCGGCATTTCCAGACGTTACTATTGTGCGACCGGGATGGTTGTATGGAATTGACGACAAGTTCTTGAATAGGATGGGGAGTACGTAAAAAAAAAGTAATTAACGACTTTTATGTATAAAAGCTACTCCAAGAAGCTGACAAATGGTTTTTTTTCTTAGTGACAGAAGGATATCAATTCTTAATCAATCGCGGCCAAACCCGCGTGCGACCCGTTCACGTTAGTAGAATTTTCTTTCCATTGAGCTTTGACTCTAAAAACGTCTTGTGGCTTTAATTTAAAGCAAATTTCATGGTAAAACACAATTTGTAGGTTGAAGATGTTGCGCGAGCTCTTGAAAAGATGGAAGGTGATGAATCTACAGTTGGCCAGACATACGAGTTATTTGGCTCACAGGAATATACATTCGGGGAAGTTCACGATATCGTGGATTCTTTGATTAAACGTCGGACAGTCAGAATCAATGTTCCCACACGCATTGCTCTGAGATTTACTAAATTATTAAGCCTTCTTCCATGGCCATATATCTCTCCCGACGAGATCATAAGAATGGGAATCAGTGATCAGATCAGTCCTGGTGCAAAGACTTTTGAGGATTTAGGAATCGCACCAAAAGATTTAGAAGCATCGGCTTTAACCGTCGTGAGAAGGTACCGGCAAAATAGCTGGTTTGATGCTCCACCACCAGATCCACGAGTTGGCAAATTCAAGACGGATCATATAGTTTATTAATATTATATGTGCTCTGGAATTCTATAGAAAGTACATGGAAACAATCATTACGAGTTTTGGGCTTACAATAGACATTCTATGCAAAATACATTTTTCAAGAATTGATGTTCCGATCATACACTTTTAGCCGCTTTCTGAATACAAGAAAAAAAGAGTCCTATTCCATGAAAGGGTTTATTATTTTATCAAATAATTTACAATGGTTTCTACTAATTTTCGGCACGAGCTCCTGGATTCTGTCCACAATGCAGATGTACAATGTCACTGTTTGGTTGTCGAATAAATACAGAATCACTGATGAGATTCTGACATATTGCACAAGAAAGGTTTGTGGTAATCACAATGGGACCAATTTCTTCACGCGCCTTAAATAGTTCATGCTTTACCTGTAAAATAAGAATAACTGGTAAAGATAAATTCTGGCTAACAATATCACTGCCATATTGATCCTCACCAGCGTATTTTCTCCACGACTTATTCCTTTTAATATCTGTTCCTCTCGATACTCGTGGTGGCTCAGACGAAGAGAACGCACAAGAAATTTTTGTAGCATTTCTACTGACCAAACATCTGGTAATAACGCAAGTATCTATAAAGATTGCGTGATTCAGAACAGGCGATGCGAGTATGAAACAACCAGTACTGGATTGTGTTCATCGCAGGCAAATCAATGAATGGTAACGTACCTCAGCCAGCTCCATCTGATGAGCTTTATCCTAGGAATGACGTCGCCAATTAGTACTCGAGATTAAACATATTTTGCGTATGAGGGATACAGAGACATATCTACCTTACTTCTACGTTGTATCACCAGATATTCCAAATATAGTTTTAAACCATCTTGACCAACAGCCCGTAATCCATTTATCACTTTGGTCGGTTCAACCAAAAGAGGTTTCCTTGGATCTCGTATAAATATCTGCAAGGAAAACGATCCCAAAAATTTTGTCGTGGGTTTTTATATGATTTCCAATAGTTAAAAATATAATCGTTGTTTTTCCTTTTCCCAGTGAATCTGTAGTAATCGATACTACCTTTGCGCCTATAACTTCATCCTTAAGCATCACCCAACTGGCATACTCCCACACCAAGTCTGCATCATCCAATTGTGACAATAAATCTCCCATCCGTTTCAAACCATTCTGAAAATCATTATCTGGCAGCTCATCAGTCAAAATTCTACGGAAAAAAGTTCCAATTATCAATACTATATTCACGAAACAATGACAAAAACGCCTCTTGAATAAGAACCTTTGCCATGTGTCCAAAGTTTTTCGCCATTTTTCGTGATTTTTATATAGTAATGACAGTGCATAGAATTTCTAACGTAAAATGAAACCTCATTTAATACAACTTGTTATTAGGACATCAAGATTTTGCACGTACATATGCGTACCTTCGTATCTAATAACACCTGCTCACACCATTCCAACAGACAAAAGTTTTCATTCTCGAGTAATGCATTTAAAGGTTCTCTCGAATTCGATTCCGCGTACAGCTTCACGAGTACATTATCGACAGCCTACAAACATTGGCGGATAAAGTTAGCAGGATTTCCAGACTCCAACCTTGAAACTATCATGTAGCGTTGAAACCTTTAATATCTTCTTATCAACATTATTTAAAGGACGATGACCACTAGTACGATTTGCTCGATCTTTGGCTAAAAATTTTTGTAATATAACTTTCGAATTAAATATAAGAGTCCTACGGAGCTCTTGAGTCTCGGGAGCTGTTGAGGCATTTGGCTTGATATGTGGATCATAGTTCTTAGAAAGACTATGAGAAACTAAAATAGAATAGTAATGAGCGATATTCATACTTGACAATAACTACGAGTATTTTATAAAATGTCGCAATAAAGAAAGCTAAGGAAAGCATCAATTTACCAATATCCTCGATCGTTCCTAAACGCTCAACAAGGTCTTTTACACCTCTATACACGTAAATGGAATCATCATCAACGAACTCTTGAAAATCCTTGAACAGGTGAATGATCAGTCGCGGATCTATATGACCTTTTTCGAACATTTGCAATGCGTCGTCGAATAATGTTTCTCCAAGAAAGATGAGACCGGCGCGTTGATATGTGTAGAATAGTTCGTGTTGCTACGTATCATCAAATGTAATAAATAGATATTGCGTTGTAATCCAGCTAGAAAATATAGCATACTACCAACGCGCGAAATTTTATAAATGCTTACCATTCGGGCGTCATGCATGTCGGGTGCAGCGTTGTCTCTTGAATGATTTTCCGCCCAGTTTAAAGCTTCCTCTACGCGATGAGCATCTAATAATTGATCAACCTTTGATAAAATAATTATTCGAGATGAATACTTATCATTTGAATACGTCAAATAAAACATGTAATTAAATCGGATCTCACTTGAACTATTATTGGCTTATTCGCCAACGCCATAATTGAATCTTTTCCACCAAGAATAACTTGTGCCGGTACGGTGCTAATTTTCTTTATAATCTTATTCTTCTCCCGTTCCATAGCCCCATCCGGCTGCCCCTTTTTAGTTCCCTCGGTCTTTGTTGATTCTCCATTGTCTTTATGGAGTGTAAGTGGTACCCAACTTAACTTCTGGAGCAATTCAGTTACTAAAAGTCGTACGCCGGATCCACGCGAAATAGTTCGAGGTTCCACACTCGGATTTATTTGAAAAATCTGTACTGGTTTCTGATTTATCAAGTCGTGAATTTCAATAGAGTCGTTTTGGAGCAGAGCAACGACATAAGGAAATTCAACTCCTACGAAAAAAATAGGATGTATGCTAGTTAGAAATATTAACGAGCTTACTGATAATGTTTTTGGAATTTACACATACCTATTGCTCGTGGAAAGCTCGGCCATGTTAAAACGCCACGCGTAGGTTCACCGGAAAATGTTACAAATTGACCCAAAGTCTGTGGATAATGTTAAGAAGTAACAGCATTGCTCATAGTTTTGGCTTTAAGCATTGTGATTTCCATAGATAAAGGATATGATTATCCGTAGGCAGAACAACCAAGAATTCCCTATCTGTCGCTACAGCAATAAGCGGTCTAATTGATGTTACATGGTTGCTCATTCGTTTTTGACTTCGATCGTTATATGTAGCAATAGTAACCATTTTTTTATCCTTCAGATCTATCATTTTGTAATCTTGAAAATCGGCTACGCATACATAGCGACCAAACCGATATGCGACGTATATTTCGGGTCCGCCCCCTGGTAAGTACTGACCAAATGAAATTCAAAGTTATCGTAACGAAATTAAAAATTATTTAATGCTAATATTACTTCACATTGTGAATTCTTACCGGCTCTTCTGTTGCTCTATCCAATGATATCGTGAGAAAATTTATAGCAGCTCGCTTTTTCATTACACATAGCCGCACGAAACCATCCTTATCAACTGCACCTTCCAGGGCAAGATTCTGACAGAAACAAGTTACGTCCTTGACCTGAGGAAATGCATTAGGAGGCAGTGGAGTCATATCCGGCAGAGAATACAATGATAGAGTTGAATCTATTTGATAACGTTGTCAGTTACAATCCTTTATAGATAATCTAGCATTCTGACAGTAATACTTTGGTACTTGCCACATAATATCACTGCCTTCCTAATCCGAGGTAATAATAGAATGCGTTCTATAAACTTCTGTTTAAATCCTAGATTCCTTTTAGAAATCAAGCGCGTTCTCGGTAAATTCTTCATCATTGAAGGTAGAGATATAGTATATTACCATATTGTAAAAATCATTTGGTGGAGACAAAACATAATACGATATTAAAAATTTATACATACAGTATCTTGCAACGCTAAATCTTCAAGCACGTAATGAAGAAGGTTTCCATCTGATGTGCCTATATAAATATTGTTGTCTATAAAGAGGAATGGGTGGAGAAAATTAACATTAGATATGTCAAATCAGGTATTGACTGTCGCACTCTTCATTAATCTAAAGGGTAAATCATGACAATTTAACTAAAGTAGATGTGTGTACGCATCCAGTTACGTCCAACCTGCGGCCATATTCCACGGATTATGAATCTCATTCCCGTTTTCCTGCCCAGCAATCTGCAACACCAGCTAATTCCTCTTCACTTCCCACCTATACGTACTCCAAGTTTCCACACAATCAATAGTAACTCTCGGATTTTCTCGATTCGCCCGCCCAATTCCCCCAGCCAGACGCACTCCAACAGTTCCTGTACCGCTGGTCCCCCTGTTATCGGATCGGCGCAAGAATGTAGTCATGCCTTGCTGCTGCTGTGCCGGAGACTGAGGCGAATTTGCCGGCTGAGAGTCTTCGAGGGCAACAATAGGGATAAGAGAATGTAGGTCGAAAGGCGTGATTGACATTATGGAGTAGCGACAAGCGCATTAATAGAGTAATGATATTAAAGATTCTATGAAAGGCGAGTAATGTGCAGTATTCGCTTGTCTGAAAAAGCACTAGTGAATAAACGTCTTAGTTTAAAAAACATTCACGCTGGGATTTCAGGAACATCTTCTTCACGTGCTCAGTGCCTAAATAGACTAACCATATAAAGATCGAATTGTGTCATCGTCAAACTTAAATACTCGTTCCAATCTACGATAATTTCAATACTCCGCAAAACCATACTGCGAGTGGACCCTTCATGGCGATGAGTAAACGACATATCTGGGTATTGGCAATTATAGTTTTATCGATCCTTGGCAACAGCATACAAGTGCGCGGGTTTAACTGCTCTGAAGTGATTGTTGATAATTTTAAGTTTGACCTCCACCTACTTGACAAGTAAAGTGGCAAATCTGCGATTTACGTTATTTGCTTGAAATGTTTAAGAGTCTTGTTATTATTCTAGATTATTCTGTCTGGCTCTATGCAGAAGTGCTTTGAACGTCTCATGATAAACACGTGCATGTTTGTTAATAAGGGTCTTTTATTTTTTTTTCTAGTGAGTATATTGTAAACTCTACACATCGAGCTGATCCGTCAGAAAAAATCAAAGAATTCCACATCAGTCCATGTAGTCCACTAAAATACAACGACACTATTGATTCAAGGGCTCAATGCCCGAATGGTACTTATGTGTGTGAATATGTGAAGTATAAATTATATACTAATGAAACGGTGCTGGTCAAAGTGAAGCCAATCGCCGGAGAATATCCTGATGATAACAGATTTGTAAATCCTCTGGTGACATTGGGCCCAATGACGAATAACGATGGTAGTCCTTGTAAGTTAGAGGACACTTGTCTATGATTGCGTTACAGTTCGAAAGAAGATCTTACTTTACACGAATCTTGTATATACAGCCTCTTTTGACTTGACCTTGCATGGTGGAAAATCAAACGACGATGATTACAAAACGAACATAACTTTCTACTGCGACGTGAGTATTTTTCATTAATTGTGATTCAGTACTATTTTGGCGTTTATAATTCATTTATGATCTGATTCTCAGGAAGAACATGGAGGCCCAATAGTAAAAGGCTTCGAGCATCATACGCTCCAAATCGATTGGCGTTCAGTTCATGCATGTGGTACTAGAATATCTCAACCCGACAGTGGAGGGAGAAGCTGGTTTAGCAAGTTTCTGATTTTGTATGTAACTGGATTTAATTTTGTTGATATATGAATATATACGTAAAGCGCATACTTCCTCACTATTGACAAAATCGAATCTCATTTCTTAGCGTCTTCGCCGTTGGATCGGTTTATCTGTTTGTCGGAATAGCATACAATCGTCATGTATACAATGCGCAGGGGTGGGATCTGATTCCGCATAGGTAAACTATTTCTGTAAATGTAATGGATATATAATTTCCAATGTCCTGCTTTCTAAACATTGTATCCACCACAGGGATTTCTGGCGGGAGGTACCCTACATTGCTAAAGTAAGAGGCCTTTCGTTATTAAACGTTTGACTTTTGTATTATAGTACGTTAATCCGGACGTTGTTTTTTCTTCTGCTTTCTGCCACAGGAGTTTATGGGCTACGTATTCAATTCTCTGCGAAAAGGTGGCCGACCCGGTTATCATCATGTGTAATCTATGATGGGAATGTCTACAATATTGAAACTGATAGAGTAAATACAAGATAATTAGTATCGAGAATGACGTCTTGTAGTGGATCTACTTATTTAATCAAGGAAGAGACTGGCACTGTGAGCTCGATAACACATATACGCATGAGAGAATTGAGCGAAACTGAAACAGGCGATAAAATCGGGGCTTTAACCAGAGACAGTCCGTCTATGAGGCATTTATGCAAATGAATGTGGAGAGATAAAAAATTATTTGATTTAATAATATGCAATATTCAGATTACAAAACTCTTGTTCATTCGACCTATGAGCTTTAATAAATATGTCTTTTTTTTATCACAATTGCCTTAACTCTGTTCAATCATTCCCTATGAAATGTCTTATGTCTCGATGCGTTCATCTGCGCATCAGCGCAAATGAGATAAATGTCCAGCATATATAAATGTCCATAAGCATATGTGACAAAACTTACGTATAAGCAAGTTTCTTTTACCTTCTCAAAAAAAATATATGGAGAATAAAGAGAAGGAAATAGAATGCTACAAGTTAGTTAGACTAAAGGGTATGTGATATATATGTATATTGGTACATTTCTGTACATTAGTATTTCTTGCCATATTGCTACCCTCTTAGTTCATTTCACAAATGACCAAAAATGGTCCCACTGTGTAAACTAATTCAGTTTCCTTTTCATCTCAATTTACTATGCCGCCTGTTCACGTTTCTCCTTCAACAACCGGTTAACTATTCCCTTCAACTGTGGTTCACTGGAATGCAGTCCGGTCGTATCTCCTCCGTTCTTCTTGGCAAAATTTACTTCACCCAATACTTTCAACCATGCACTCCCACCTTCTGATCTCATATTGTTGATTTTCTTTCTAAACTCTTCTCCTCTGGCAATCGGAGAAGCAAGCGTAGGTGATTTTGTATCATCATCAGAAGCTGATACCGATATACCAGCTGCCGCATAAGGGGAGGCTCCGGCAGCAGTTTTCAGTGATTTCATCGACTTGGGTTTACGCAATTTACGCGGTTCAGATGTTGCTCGTTCTACTTCAGCTATACGGAGTACAGGATGGCGAGGTTTGCCATCAACTGGGCTTGTAGGAGAGACGGGTGATGCGGGGGATGAGGAAACTGGTGATAAAGACTGTGGTGTTTCGCTGATTGCGGATTTCTTCTTCTTGCTCTTTGATTTTGTACGTCGGGCAGAAGCCCCTTCGTCAGTGTTTGTATCAGTGCCAGTGCCGCTTGCATCGTCTTCAGCATCGAGGTCGACTATTCGTTTATTTCTCTTTTTTCTCAGCGATCCTTTACCAGTGATGTTTAGAGGAATGCTCTTAATAATATCACTATTGTCATCCTTCACTTTCTCTTTCTTGTCTCCTTTCTCTTTACTGCCTTTCTTCTGCCTTAGGAGATTATCCGCACTCAGGTTTCTGCTCAGGACAGCGACTGGAACTTTGGGGCTAGACGTTCGAGGCTGAACAGAAATCTTCTGGCGTTCATTAAATGTTGGAGCTGATCCGTCTAAAACTATGTCTAAGTTGTGCTCACGATACGCCGAGAATATATTGACACGATAATTTGGCTAAACGATGAAAGATTTAAGAAAAGCAAGAAGTAGAGAGAATGTCAGGTTGAATCAAAATTCTCGTTGCATTAACGCGCGATGACCGGCACCATCCACATCTTTTGCTTTCTACAAACCTGCTTTGTAAATGGATTTCCTTCAACGTTAATCTCCTTAATTCCAGATAATTCTGTCATTCTCTTGATTTCCTCCCAATCCGTTAAATAGTTATCTCTCAAATCCACAAATTCCAGCTCATATAGTCTTTCTAATCCACATAAATTGCTTACACGGTTATCTCTTAAATCTAATCTGCTTACGTTTCCTAGTATCTGATAAATCCCTGTGAGATTTTCGATCATATTATAACTGACATTTAAATATTGCAAATGTATTAGCTGAGCCAGTGTTGATGGAATAACAATGAGTAAATTATGAGATAAATCAAGATGAGTACAATTAGAGATGTACATAATGGGCTCGGCCGAGAAGAATGTCAAAGCATTGTCCGATAAATTTATAGATTCTAATCGAGACCAAGCATTATCTGGTAAGACTGGTGTTGAGTCGTCTTCTACTTCATCCACGACTTGTTCTTGTGCTGCTGGTGAAGAAGTGACGTCAATCGCATTGTTGAGTTGAATGCTTGCTTTCAGTTGTTTCCTCTTGGCCTCTATAGCCTTGCGTCGCTTAGCTGAATTCTTAACTGCATCTGCGAATAAATCGACGATATCGTCGATTGATCCTCTTTGTACAGTTAAACTCTCCAGACGTTCTTGTATTATATCCCATCCATCGAAATTTTTGATAGGTATATCGTAGATCTCCAAATGGCAGAGGCTTTTGAATGGGCTAAGCGAAAGCATACTTCCTCTTGGCCAATTTTCTGATCCTTCGATACGCCTTTGATTGAACGGTCCAACTTTTATTCCGACTAATCTAGAAAATGCCTTGAATATGTATTTGATCTCTGCTTCTATTGGACCTTGTTCTGCCTGCTGTGCAGCCGTCGACCATCCATTCCATCCAGACAAAAGAGATAATGACGACATGGCAGACGAAACCGACCCAATTGAATTCACCGATCCGATTGATGCAGCATCAGTGTTGTCGTCGGCTGATATTTCCAATCCTCCTCCCTGTCGAATTACCAACTCAGAGTCAGGTTCGAAAGCCCCTACATCCAATCCTAAGTCACTAAATCTAGTTAACAAATAATACATATGATGAGGATCCAATGCGACTAGGGGTGTTTTTGGGACGGGAGACGAACTAGGGGTTGGACTTGAGGTTCCAGTAAGTGCAGCACTGATTGACCATAAGTGTTGTATTGAGAAAACGCCACTGCCACTGTCGCTGCGCTTGTGACTTGACAATTGGGACGAGACTGAATGGGAAGTGAGACGACGGTCATTCGCACGTATGTAATGAGCTATTGTACGTATATACTGTTCGCCAGTGACATAGGATTTCTTCGGTGGCGGTGGTGACATGGCCTGTAAGAATGCCGACATAGTTTTCGGAAGACGGGTATAATACTGACTGGATAAGTGATGAGTATATAATGTCTTGAGATATTAATATAATTTGTTAGATAAGTGCGGGGGAAGTGGGGTTATTATTTACTATGGTACTGAAATAAAAAACTAGACAATGTGAAAAACGTGATGTCGATCGATGATTTTCATTTCTATTTTCGTGGACTCTGTGGTGTATCAGTCTCCCACCCACCGGACATCTCAGAATGTAGAGACTGTGACTCGGTTGCTTTTCACTCCATTAGCAATAGTATTGACATTCTTTAGAGTCTTGCGAGAAATGTAAATTTCCGGCTACATCTCGGCTTCTGTCAAAGGTATGTTTGTCGTTGAGGTTTTGATAAGCATGTGACAGATGAAATTTTCTGTTGACAACAGGAAAGTCCCGCCATTTATGGGTATTCCTAACAAACTGTCTAGAAACAAGAATCTAAACGGCCTTCTCGCCATTGATGTTGGAACCACACGCGCATTCAGTATTCCAGGCACTTGGAGAATACCATGTGACGTCAAACATTTATTGTTTTGGTCCCTGACTGAGCTGAGTTTATCATTATTAAAATGGATATTAAAGAGGTTTCACTATAGCCAACGATAATGGCAAAAAGACCGTAATTAATAACGTACAATTACGGGAAATTTATATATTGTAAACAACTATAACTGAAAAGTCCCATTGTATAATGACAACTATATTGGGAAATTACGTATGTTCTTCTTTACCAGATTGGGAGTAGAGCGGGGCAACTCAAAAAATCGGCAATCCCGTGATTTAAATACGTAGGGTTTGATCTCAGCCAACCGCAAAGGATGTTTCAGCAACACACGTATATTGTTTGGACCGAACGAGAATTATCAATAAAATAAAACTTCACTCAGGCATCCCAGTAAAGGCCACTTACCCTATACCAGATCACGGGATTGATGTATTCATTTTTAACGAGATTTTTATTTGTCAAATAAGACATCTGCCAGCAAAGGAAGCAACACACGCATATTATTTGGACCGAACGAGAATTATCAATAAAATAAAACGTCACTCCTAGTACATACTGAACGTGCTACAGACTGATCTTTTCATCTATGTCGAGAAGCGAATTAACCAAATGACAATTGATCTTGGGATTTAGCTTCTTTCAATCGGAGCCGTGGCTTTTCCTACTCAGCTAAATACAACTCGGTTGTTAGTGGCGCTTTAACTACTCACGGTACATAATTATGTCGCGTCCGAGTTATAGCAGGTAATGTGGAGAGCCGTGAAAGACGAATTAAAGTCGATAAAAGTAGAAAATCTTGGGTATGATCACCCTGTTCTACGTAGATCGGAGGTCTACGGATCGGGGTTTGATGAATAGTAATAGTGGCTCCTCCGACCTTTATTCCGATGCGACGACAATATTCATAGATGACTTTAAAAAATGCAGACATATTTAAAAGACAAGAATCAGTTCACAATGTCTAAGACGAAGTAATAAATTCGAGACTTAATATTATGTTTTGGCTACCCGGAATAATGATGTCGTGATGACGCGAATTACTGTTCTCGGAAACAGACTCAACAAAAGGGACACATTCATTTCATCGACAATCATTTCGCCGACAGTCATTTTACCGACAAAATTTCCCCAACATTATTTCGAAGTTATTCTTTTTGGTAGTCTTTGTCGGTGAAATGAACCGGACCCCCAACATAAACAAAAGGCAGAATGCATTGAAAGCAAGATCGATATCCTCAGAGCTAAAGTTGACCGACCAAACGCTATACAAGGTGAGAAAAATTTAAATTATCATTAAAGTCTCAAGTTATTTTCTTTGTAGCCACCCACATTTATACTTACAATATAGACTTTACAAATATTATATTCGTTGCACTATCCCAATCCCGTGAAATGGTGAAGCGTAGAACTTTATGAAAATTGTCTATTCCCTGGGTACGGACATTACGTTTGTTTGTAAATATTTTTATTTAATGAATAGTATTAATACAACCAATTATGCTAATAGTATTGTTTTAGTCAGCTTATCTGGTCGTTTTTTACAATAAAGAAGTTTGGACTCTGCAATAATGACAACCGGACGTTAACACATCAGAAATTTGATTAATCACGGCTGCTTTAGTATTAGCAGATTAAAGAGTATCTCGTGTATAATGATAGAATGTTATTTTGGTAACTTTACAAAATCTATTGAAACCCACTTTTTTTTCATTCTTCCTGATGAGTTTTGGAGAACATCCAAAGTCAATTATTGGTTTAGAAAAGTTTCCTAAACTTGAATTAGTATTTGGGGCAGACTGCAACAAAACCAGACGAAGTGAACATTTTATTATGTGATGTAATAAATCACTTCAATTACAAGCTGAAGAATTAATATTAATATATTCAAAGAGTTTATCTCTATCAATTTCTCTAAGAATATACTATCACTTGATTTCGTGCTGGTCAACACAGTGGCTTTCTCAAGTGATAGAGCCTTATTTATAATCTTCACACCACCAAAATTATGCCAGGCTCCATGGTGAATGTCCTCCAAACTGATGTTTTGATTTTGATCAAAGACCTAATACTAAGACCTGAGATTTGAGAACATGGATTTGGTATTTGGCCCACAAATTCCTCAAAATGCTGCCAGAACTGACAGCTGGGGGGAATAAAAGGTGAGGAATAGTGTTTTTAGTATAACTAGGGCAGTATAGTATAAGTAGGCAGGTGTAGATTCATCATCAGCAGTGGTGACATCTGTTTGCAACATCTGTTGTGACATCTGTTGTGATGTCTGTTGTGGCATGGCAGGGGACTTCCATCCAGCCTTTGTTATTTGTTAAGTTGGAAAAGCATTCATTTTGAAATAGCAAGTTCTGCACTGTCTTCTTGCAACAGATCCCATTCTCAAAAGAAATGTTAAAGACCAATGCATTTGAGAATCATGACTTCAGCTTAAGCTCTGCATGAGAGGCAAACTCTTCACATAAAATGTATGGCAACTCATTTGCATTCCAAGATATTCCTTCTCCTGCACCAGCAATCATGAAAAATAATGGTGTAATGTATATGTAGTACTTTTTTCCAATTGCCCTTCCAAATAGTCCTTGTAATATCTGGTCATAGTAGTCCTCAACAGTTCCTTCAAGTCATCTGATGCCTGAAAGTCCCATGTGCACCCACTGGTCTTAAGAAGTGGTTCTGGTGGAAGATATTCAAGCTCCTCTGGCAACCAACCTGCAAGAGAGGAATCCAACAGAGAAAAACAGACAACATTAGCTGGTTAAATCTCTTTTAACTAGAAAGTAACTTATTATTATATAAAGCAAGATTTCAACGTCACCAAACGTTCCCTCAAACGGATGACAGATAAAGGTATTAATATTGCATGTTTGCTACTCTAAATTGTCCTGATGTCAACAGTAAACTACACAGGTTTTATAATGCTACTCTATTTCCACAACTGCTACTCTTGCAATATCCTCCAAGAAACTCATATTATTATTATTATTATGTCTACTCTGCCCTATGTACACACTACTCTATGTCCCCAACGCCCGAGTCACAAAGTCGTTACCTGGTTGAGTAAGCTCGCGAATTGTCTTTCCCCACTCCCGCTTCTCCTCCTCCAGACTCTCTTCTTGCCTCTCTAAGTTTGCCTGCTCGCCACGCCACTTGGGCGTTGCTCCGCTCCTCAGTTTCTCCAGCCGCTTCAGCTTCGCCTTCACCTCTTCATACTCCTTCGCGATGTCCATGTTTGACTTGTTCTGTCAAACCTAAGCAAAAAGTAAGCAAAAAAGGCGTTGAAAAGATTAATTGAACTAGCACAAAAGAAAACAAGAAAACAAAAGAAGAAGAATTGGCTGAAGAATTAAAAAAGAGGTTTGGTAACTAAAATTTTTGCCTATCTGTTAGGAAAAAGAATAAAGGAATTAATTAAGTTTAAAGTATTTCCATATCCTGCCAAAACAAACCGTAATTATTTGGTCGCGCGGTAGGAAATATAAGCTGACGCGTAGTTTTAATTACCAACAGATTTGTATTTACGGTTACATGACGATGATGTCAATTCGGCTGAAGAACCGCTTCTTATACAGCGTTATGACAAGTATAAACTACTTTATCAACAAAGTTGAAAACCACTTCCCGCGACTTTTCCTTGAGTTAAGCGATCTTTTATTTTTATTTTTATTTTTATTCATGCGTGTTTTTTTTAATTCACATGTCAAGACGGATATTCTTCGCCCATAACGTAGTACAAATGGTATCTTAGAGAAAGGAACAAGAACATTTTACCACGCAACGAATCTGACTTACTAGTAAATGAATAACCCATGATAAGCATAATTGGCTGCTCTGACTTTACAATGAAAATCTTCGCTATAGCCTATTAGTAACTGAAACATTCGTTATAAGCTTTATAACGGTTCACTATAACCAGATTGACTATGTATATGTGGTATTGGTATTATTTTAGACAAATAAACTTCGTTCGTAATGCATTCTTTATTAGAATCACTATTATTATTATTGAAAAATCAAAGTCCAAGTAGCTCAAGTCCATCTCAATCACAACTCCCGTCGCTAGGTCCATCCCTCCATCTCTCATCGATTTTATTACAATCAAAAATATCCTTTCCCAGCATCTTGTTAACCTTATTATGCATTTCGCACATCCACATTCCCAACTGTTGTCTGCTTTCCACTCTCGGTGGCCACTTTTTGATTTCTTCTTGCAAATGTTCGGCACAATGTCCACAAGGATAGAATCTTGAAAATGATGATAGAAACGATCGCATCAAGCGCTGTTCTTGGTTTGAGGGATGATCAGGATAGTATGCTGCCATCGTATGGAGAAATGTCCATGTCGCTCTTCCAAGCTGCTTGATATCAGGTGGACATTCTCTTATTTGCGGTTTAGTCGTGTCAGCAGTGTTTGCTTCATCGATTGTATAATCAGATTTTATAGCCGTTTCTTGTGAAGATTGCGTAGAATATTTTTTCCTCTCTTGCTTAGTCCAGGTACGGAAATCGGTACATACCCTACAGGGTTTCTCGTCTTTCCCTGGCATTTGCTCAGACTATGACCAGAATAAAATTTTGTGCCGTTAGACATTGCTTTACTGTCAATACTGACATGACGTCAACGGATGGTACACGGCATAGATTTTAACTGGCGGGAGATGTTTTGACAGGAGCGTGACTTTTGCATTTGCATTTACATTTACATTTGGCAATTACAATTTCAGATCAAGTGTTGATCTAATTATCGCATCCTATGCAGAAATCATTCTTTGGGAATTATGCTCTGGTATGCCATCAGCCGTGCACGTTAAAAAAGAGTCTTTGCTGAATGTCATTTTCACTTAATAATCATACAAGGACGAAGCAGTTGCTGGTTTTGTTGCTGGAGCTACATCAACTGTCTTTCTACATCCTCTGGAAATTGTCAAAATAAGATTTCAGAGTAGGCATACATTCCACATGAGTCTGTTGTGTATATAATTGATAAATGTATTCAATCGTTTGTTTGGCAGTTGATGATTCCGCAAGATCTCGGCGTTATTGGCTATCAATCGGTGGCACCGCCAAAGCGCTACGAGTAATAGCACGCTCTGAAGGCCTTGTAGGTCTATATCGAGGACTCTCCCCCAATTTTGCTGGCTCGGCAGCAAGTTGGGGTTTCTATTTTTATTTGTAAGTAATTTGACCATTAACTACTATGATCTACGCTTTTCCTTCGTCTTGTGTTGACACTTTGCTAAATACAATATAGGTATAGCCTGGTAAAGTTGCGAATGGCGGGTAAAGACAAGACACAAAAGCTGTCTCCTGCGCAGTATCTGCTTGCTTCAGCCGGAGCTGGTGAGTATTTTCTTTTTTTTTCCCCCCCCCCCCCCCCCCGCTTGCTTGGTGAGAATGTTAAAATCAAGTTATCTTCCAAGGCGCAGTTGTTGCGTTGTGTACGAATCCGCTTTGGGTCGTAAAGGTCAGAATGTGTGCCACGACAAGAGGACATCCCGGGGCATACTCTGGGTTATTCGGTGAGTATCATGGTTCTCGAGTATTGGCATTTAATTGGAAATCGCTCATACGTTTTCGGTATTTCAGATGGACTGTATCAGATTGTTCGATATGAAGGAGTAAGAGGACTTTACAAGGGTCTTGTTCCGGCTTTGCTCAGTGCTTCGCATGGGGCATTACAGTTTATGGCATATGAAGAGCTGAAGAAATGGCGATCACGAATTAATCCAGACAAAGATCGGAATCGACTGGTGAGTCTACCTGATGTACCGTCTTTGTAAACGTTTTAATTACTGACATGCTTTTTGATATGGATAGTCCAATATTGAATACATCTTGCTTGCGAGCAGTTCGAAAATATTTGCTAGTACTATAACGCACCCATTTCAGCTAATTAAAGCGCGATTAATGAATCAGCGACTAGAGAGAAAGTACTATGGCGTGGTTGATACCATTCGCAAAACTTACAGGTTAGCGAGCGCATTTTCGTGGTCCGGCTTATGTGGCGTGGAGTCTAACGTTTTCTCTTGATACTAGATTGGAAGGACTTCTTGGATTCTACAAGGGTTTAGCACCGGCAGTAATACGCGTCTTACCTGGCACATGCGTCACTTTCGTCGTGTACGAAAATCTTTCTTCGTATTTCCGAGAGCATGCACAAAAATTAACATGATGCTTTCTGGTGTGGGATAAACATTGAAAAATATACTCTTAGCCAAGCCATCGGCCGTTAGACCACCTGTCGATTAGTAAAACGTACGTTTATCTTTTTTCTTGCTGCCAGTTTGTAATTTTGCTAAAACATTATGTTAACTTAAGCCCGTATCGTCTCATGATATGGTCGAGCCGACTACCGCGGGAGGTCGTTCAGTAATTGGCCTTGGAATTTAGCTATTTCAATCGAGGTTCGGCTAACCTCTACTCCTTCTTAAATTGCCAATACAGTTAGTGACCTTATTTCTGGCTTTAAATATACTCACAATTTTCCCAAATTAATCGATCGATACAACACAGGTTCTCTATTGTCAATTACATCTACCCTAAATAGGTTCTGATAGTCCGTAGGCTTCAGCGTGTAATACACCAAGTAAACGCATCTATTAATAACATTTAACAATCGTATTTGCCGATTACGAGAATTGATGGACAGAATCAATTCGACCCAACGATTCCGGAACCGCGGGAGGCCCTTGAAACCCACATAATAATGAAGATCATCGTGTAACTAGTAATCAATCTACCACGATGTTTTAGTTAGTTTAAGAATGTCGAAGGTGGATTTATGATATGAACGGAGAAATTTTAATATTAAGGAGTTTTTAGATTCGAACCCATGCCTATTTGTTTTAATTAATAGATTATTTACTTTATAACGTGCATCCGAAATATACCCATTTAACTTCTCAATATCTCTTTTAGAGGTAACGATTAAGTCACGTCAAATACAAGTCAGGAAGGACTCGCATTCGAAAAGAAATCCTGATAAATGCAGGTTATGAAGTGGAGTGACGGACGGGGTGAGTGTTCACTGAGTATGATGAACGACTTGCTGTGAACGTTCTTAATTGATGATGCATGTACTCAAGCGCGTCGCTAAGTCATCGAACTGTGCGGTACAGATCAAAATGGTACGGACGAAACGAAGATGGGGTTATATGAATTGTACGGCTATATCCCATACCCCCCCCGCCGGCGGTTTCATGAGACTCGTATGGAGATGCGGTAGTTGAGGATATTAGAAAATTAGTCACATTTAGCTTGGTCATTCTGGAGTAGAAGAGAAGAATAGAGTTGTTGTGAAGATGAGCTTTCCAGGGTTAGCTAGCTAATTATCAATTGTTTGATCATCAGAGGTGATTTGGTATTTCACAATTTAACCGCAAAATAGCAGAGTATTCTTTGGCTTCGGAATAAAATATTAACTACCTAGTTTCTTTTATTCAGTTTTCTGACAAAGCGTGGAGGCTTGGAGTTGATGAATGAATTTACGCGAGTGCAAATGGGAATGGGAAAATAATTACTTCAGAGAAATAGTAATTCTATTAACGGACGTTACTAATTAAATCCCGAAATTGTTGCATTCCCCAAAATCATAAAAAATAGCTTGTTCGAAGTTGAAACTCCACAGATTTTATTAACAATTAATCCTTTTTCGATTACACTCTGACAACGCTAGACATTGAGTTTGCAAAATTAATTAATATTGTCCGAAATGTTCGGCTACTCCTCCTTTATGAACCTCAATTTTTCGGAGAAATTCACTTATTTACATTACTTTTACCCGGATGGTATAGGTAATCTAGCAGCACTTATATCAAAAATTATTGTAACAATGAACTGCTAACCACATTAAATTACAGCTCGTAAATTGCACGCATACACAACGCGCTAGACGTGTTAATGTTAGATGTAAAAAATTCTGTAACACACTTTATGTATCAGGATATCATTCTATCGACTAACTATCTAATATATATGTTGGCACTAATTGAATGATTATTTACAGTAGCGATTACGACCGCAATTACGCGATTGTGATTTATCTCGAGTGTGTCACTATTAAGGCGCGTGACAATATCAGGTGTTGTTTAGTATAGGAAAAGCTCAAGCTACTTTGTTTTGTCTTATGAAAATGGTGAAAGAATTATTAAAATGTACGATATCAGAAATCAGTAGCTAGACGCCTTGGATAAATCGGTTGACACGTGAATAAAAGTCTTTCGGCGTGGCAGAAACAGGAATAAAGAGTAGAATGACCTTGTTTCAACAAATCAAGTCTTTAAAAGCAACCTTGTTCTATTTATAGAGAATCCAGATTATGGAGGGAGTTTTCGAAAACTGACTATAATTCTTTTCTTTTCACGCTATAACAAGACATTATTCAAGGACATTTGTGTCCAATGGTGATGTCGAAAGTCGTAAAAGTTATAAACAACTGGCGAATTCTGCTCCAACAATGTTAACGAACGGAATTAGAATGATTAGGCTCGCAACAATGTTATGTAAAGCTAAAGTCAAACGTCTATTTATTTAAAATCCAGACTAAGCCTCTGCTGGATTGGCATGGCCTTTCGAGAAGGCAGCAGAGCATTTAGCCATTGTCTGACTCGCCCTACTAATGCTATTTGTCATATAAAAGTTCGGTATCACCGAATTCAGAGGAGCGCTAAATGGCCGCAAAGATGGTTTTACGAGTTGCATAAGACCAAGCTGGGCATGCGACGAGGTCTCAACGATATCATAACGAGTGAGATGAGGCGCTATTTCACTCATTCGATAACGGAGAGAGTGGACGTCATCGTAAGGAAGCGTCAGTCCAGCTACCTCTGATAATGCGCGGATTATCTACAAACGTAATCAGTCGTCAGATAGAATGTTAACTAATGCGACGCTTAATGCATCACAATTACCTTCCAATCTTCACGAGAAGCTCCTGGTGGTGGCACTGCTGCCCTTGTCATTTGTACTCTGCCTTCTGTATTGACATAAGTAGCATTCTTCTCAGTATACGCAGCACCAGGTAATATTACATCCGCGTAATGAGCACCATGGTCACCATGATGGCCCTGATATACTACAAATGCATCTTTAGGGATATCCCTCGCTGAAATTTCGTCAGCATTCAATAAATATAAAAACTTGGCCTCAATGGTTGATGAGTCATATGTGGGAATGAAGCCGATATCAAGCGCAGCAGCGCGGCTTGCACCCTGAATCGGTTAATGTAGTTACTTGGCGACCTTTGACTTGGAAAGTGAATGAACGTATAATAAAATTAAACTCACCCTCTGTAATACATTATATCCGTTCCAGTTCGCTTGGAAGAATTTATCTTTATATTTTCCAATTAATTGGGCCACTGATGAGAAGACGTACTCAGAATCGGGGTTGTCTGCAACGCCGCTTCCGACTATGACCAAAGGCCGCTCCGCTTGCGCAAGTTTCTGACTGAATGGATGTGTTCCATTTAGTAGATTTTCTAATGCAGAAGTATTTGTTCCAATGTGATCGTATTCATAAGTAGTATCCGCCGGATATCCTACGAGACCTATATCTAAGCCATTGAATAAGTAACTTTTACGGATTCTAGTGTTGAGTATCGGCGCTTCATGTCTAGGATTAGTTCCAATCAATATCAGCACATCTGCATTTTCAACACCAGCAATCGTACTATTTAATAAATAATTAGAACGAAAATCTGCTCCATGAGC